CGAGCAACTCTCGGGTCTCAAGATCAATTTTCATAAAAGTGAATTGTTTTGCTTTGGCGACGCTCAAAACAAGGCCCACCTTTACGCTGAACTATTCGGATGTAGGTTGGGCGAATTTCCGATCACATATTTGGGGATACCGATACATTATCGGAGACTCACAAATGCTGAATGGAAACACGTCGAGGAGAGATTGCAAAAAAGACTTAGCAGTTGGAAAGGTAAACTGCTGCCTGTGGGTGGAAGATTGGTCCTCATAAATTCAGTACTAAGTAATATGGTATTATATATGATTTCCTTCTTCCAGTTGCCGAAAGGAGTCTTACATAGATTGGATTATTTCCGATCAAGATTCGTTTGGCAAGGAGATAGCGAGAGAAGGAAATATCGACTGGCCAAATGGAGTGTGGTTCGCCGTCCCAAAGACCAAGACGGGTTGGGCATTCATGACCTTGAGGTTAAAAATAGGGCCCTCCTCGGTAAATGGTTGTTTAAATTACTGACGTAAGATGGTGTATGGCAAACCCTCCTAAGGAGGAAATATGTGGGTTCCAAGGCGGTATCCCAGGTATACTGGAAGCCTGGGGATTCCCATTTTTGGGCGGGTCTAATGGCTACAAAGAAATATTTCTTTCGCTATGGATCCTTCTCGATTAAGGACGGCTCAGAAATTAGATTCTGGGAGGACAAGTGGCTAGGAGATACCACACTCCGGGAACAATATCCAGCTCTATACAACATTGTGCGCCACAAGGATGATACTATTGCCACGGTAATGGAATCATTTCCGCCAAATGTGACATTCAGAAGAGATTTAATTGGACCCAGATTACAATCGCGGAACATCCTGCTCCAGCGGTTGTCCACGGTGCAATTGTCACATGGGTCTGATGTTTTCCGATGGAACCTCCATAGGAATGGCCAATTCTCAGTGGAGTCAATGTATAGAGCGTTAATCCAGTCTGATGTGCCAGTTGATAATAATAAGAAGATATGAAAGATGAAGATACCTCTTAAGAATAAAATCTTTGCATGGTATCTTCATCGCGGAGTCATTCTTACTAAAGACAACCTTATTAAGAGAATTGGCATGGTAGTCCATGATGTATCTTTTGTCACCATGATGAGACAATAAAACATTTGTTCTTCCAATGCAAATTGGCTCGTTCTATATGGTCAGTCATCCAGATAGCTTCTGGCTTGTATCCTCCTTGTAGTGTTGCTAATGTATTTGGCAACAGGTTACATGGGATTGATCACAGGTTTAGAACTCTTCTTAAGGTGGGAGCGCTTGCCGTTATTTGGTCGCTTTGGCTATGTAGGAATGATAAGGTTTTTAATGATAGAAGTACTTCTCTGATGCAGGTTATTTATAGATGTACCAGGACTCTTCGTTTATGGTCCTCTCTACAACGTGTGGAGAATCGAGACCTGTTGACGGAGGTGTGTACACGATTGGAGGATATGGCGAGGGTTACTTTTACCCAACATGGGTGGCAGCATGATCTTAGGATTGGCCCACCTTCGTTTTTCATAAAAGTGAATTGTTTTGCTTTGGCGACGCTCAAAACGAGGCCCACCTTTACGCTGAACTATTCGGATGTAGGTTGGGCGAATTTCGGATCACATATTTGGGGATACCGATACATTATTGGAGACTCACAAATGCTGAATGGAAACATGTCGAGGAGAGATTGCAAAAAAGACTTAGCAGTTGGAAAGGTAAACTGTTGTCTGTGGGTGGAAGATTGGTCCTCATAAATTCAGTACTAAGTAATATGGTACTATATATGATTTCCTTCTTCCAGTTGACGAAAGGAGTCTTACATAGATTGGATTATTTCCGATCAAGATTCTTTTGGCAAGGAGATAGCGAGAAAAGGAAATATCGACAGGCCAAATGGAGTGTGGTTCGCCGTCCCAAAGACCAAGGCGGGTTGGGCATTCATGACCTTGAGGTTAAAAATAGGGCCCTCCTCGGTAAATGGTTGTTTAAATTACTGACGTAAGATGGTGTATGGCAAACCCTCCTAAGGAGGAAATATGTGGGTTCCAAGGCGGTATCCCAGGTATACTGGAAGCCTGGGGATTCCCATTTTGGGCGGGTCTAATGGCTACAACGAAATATTTCTTTGGCTATGGATCCTTCTCGATTAAGGACGGCTCAGAAATTAGATTCTGGGAGGACAAGTGGCTAGGAGATACCACACTCCGGGAACAATATCCAGCTCTATACAACATTGTGCGCCACAAGGGTGATACTATTGCCACGGTAATGGAATCATTTCCGCCAAATGTGACATTCAGAAGAGATTTAATTGGACCCAGACTACAATTGCGGAACATCCTGCTCCAGCGGTTGTCCACGGTGCAATTGTCACATGGGTCTGATGTTTTCCGATGGAACCTCCATAGGAATGGCCAATTCTCAGTGGAGTCAATGTATAAAGCGTTAATCCAGTCTGATGTGCCAGTTGATAATAATAAGAAGATATGAAAGATGAAGATACCTCTTAAGAATCTGTGCATGGTATCTTTGTCGCGGAGTCATTCTTACTAAAGACAACCTTATTAAGAGAATTGGCATGGTAGTCCACGATGTATCTTTTGTCACCATGATGAGACAATAAAACATTTGTTCTTCCAATGCAAATTGGCTCGTTTTATATGGTCAGTCATCCAGATAGCTTCTGGCTTGTATCCTCCTTGTAGTGTTGCTAATGTATTTGGCAACTGGTTACATGGGATTGATCACAGGTTTAGAACTCTTCTTAAGGTGGGAGCGCTTGCCGTTATTTGGTTGCTTTGGCTATGTAGGAATGATAAGGTTTTTAATGATAGAAGTACTTCTCTGATGCAGGTTATTTATAGATGTACCAGGACTCTTCGTTTATGGTCCTCTCTACAACATGTGGAGAATCGAGACCTGTTTACGGAGGTGTGTACACGATTGGAGGATACAGCGAGGGTTACTTTTATCCAACATGGATGGCAGCATGATCTTAGGATTGGCCCACCTTTGTTTTTCATAAAAGTGAATTGTTTTGCTTTGGCGACACTCAAAACGAGGCCCACCTTTACGCTGAACTATTCGGATGTAGGTTGGGCGAATTTCCGATCACATATTTGGGGATACCGATACATTATCGGAGACTCACAAATGTTGAATGGAAACACGTCGAGGAGAGATTGCAAAAAAAAATTAGCAGTTGGAAAGGTAAACTGCTGTTTGTGGGTGGAAGATTGGTCCTCATAAATTTAGTACTAAGTAATATGGTACTATATATGATTTCCTTCTCCTAGTTGCCGAAAGGAGTCTTACATAGATTGGATTATTTCCGATCAAGATTCTTTTGGCAAGGAGATAGCAAGAGAAGGAAATATCGACTGGCCAAATGGAGTGTGGTTCGCCGTCCCAAAGACCAAGGCGGGTTGGGCATTCATGACCTTGAGGTTAAAAATAGGGCCCTCCTTGGTAAATGGTTGTTTAAATTACTGACGTAAGATGGTGTATGGCAAACCCTCCTAAGGAGGAAATATGTGGGTTCCAAGGCGGTATCCCAGGTATACTGGAAGCCTGGGGATTCCCATTTTTGGGCGGGTCTAATGGCTACAAAGAAATATTTCTTTGGCTATGGATCCTTCTCGATTAAGGACGGCTCGAAAATTAGATTCTGGAAGTACAAGTGGCTAGGAGATACCACACTCCGGGAACAATATCCAGCTCTATACAACATTGTGCGCCACAAGGGTGATACTATTGCCACGGTAATGGAATCATTTCCGCCAAATGTGACATTCAGAAGAGATTTAATTGGACCCAGACTACAATTGCGGAACATCCTGCTTCAGAGGTTGTCCACGGTGCAATTGTCACATGGGTCTGATGTTTTCCGATGGAACCTCCATAAGAATGGCCAATTCTCAGTGGAGTCAATGTATAGAGCGTTAATCTAGTCTGATGTGCCAGTTGATAATAAGAAGAAGATCTAAAAGATGAAGATACCTCTTAAGAATAAAATCTGTGCATGGTATCTTCGTCGCGGAGTCATTCTTACTAAAGACAACCTTATTAAGAGAATTGGCATGGTAGTCCACGATGTATCTTTTGTCACCATGATGAGACAATAAAACATTTGTTCTTCCAATGCAAATTGGCTTGTTCTATATGGTCAGTCATCCAGATAGCTTCTGACTTGTATCCTCCTTGTAGTGTTGCTAATGTATTTGGCAACTGGTTACATGAGATTGATCACAGGTTTAGAACTCTTCTTAAGGTGGGAGCGCTTGCCGTTATTTGGTCGCTTTGGCTATGTAGAAATGATAAGGTTTTTAATGATAGAAGTACTTCTCTGATGCAGGTTATTTATAGATGTACCAGGACTCTTCGTTTATGGTCCTCTCTACAACGTGTGGAGAATCGAGACCTATTTACGGAGGTGTGTACACGATTGAAGGATACGGCGAGGGTTACTTTTATCCAACATGGGTGGCAGCATGATCTTAGGATTGGCCCACCTTCTTTTTATGCGTTATACATACTCTACATGTTTTCTTTGTATTTTGCCTTTTTATTTTTCGTTTGTGCGAGAAGACTTTATTTGGTTGTGTGCATCGTAGTATGCAGAGGCCGGGTGTAATGCTTAAATCTTTTAAATAATAAAGCGCCATTTTCGAAAAATATGTGTTAAACCACTACCACGCATCAAACCATTTTATTTTTTCACGAATATGCAAAGCTTGCATATCATTTCATCGATAGATGGAGCAGAAGCATAGCACAGATTAGATACCTCACATTACATACACTAGCAGGCGCAAACATGATGGCCCGAGCACGAGGAGGAGGGAGTGCTCATCCCCAAAGTCCTACGCAAGGCTAACTCTCCGAGATGACGTATCCTATCGCGGTGGTGTCGGCTCGAGCACAACATCGGGCATCCTCTTGGATGGATTGCATCACGCGATTGGCAGGTGAGCGTGAGTGATCGAAAATACATTCAAGGAAACGGGCACCGCTGCTGCTGCTGCTGCTGCCGCCTCGTGTATTCCTCGACCGCGGCACGGAGGGCAAAACTGGGGCGCGCGAGCGGTAGGGCGACGCCGGCGACGGCCACGCCTTCGGGCGACGGCATCCCGTCGAGCCAGCAGCACCCGGCCACGCCGGCTTCGCAGGTGAACCCATCTTCGTCGGCACGAGGCGACCATGGTATGATGACCGACGACGGAGACGACGAGGCGGCCAGCTTCCTCTGACACTGGCACTGGCAGTGCCAGAGCACCGCCTCCGGTTCTTCCTTGCTCGTGCTTTGCAGTCCCGGGGCCGACATCGTCGCCGTCGCCTCCCCGGATTCCTCCTCGACCGTGTCCCGCTGGATTGCCTGTCGTAGCTCTGAAATTTCTTTCTCTGCTCTCGCCAGGGCTGCCTCGAGCTCCTCCCTCTTCTTCACCTCCTCCAGGTACAGCTCCTCGTGCTCTTTGGCCTGCAATGCAAGGTCTCGAATCAAAAAATGTTTCCAACTGGAATTGGCTAGTTTATGATGAATTTGGGTTTCTGACAAGGGGTTGTACTTTCAGGAGAGATGTGGCCACTTCTTCGTCTGCCTTGTGGCGCCTGCGGGATTCGTTTAGAGCTCTGTTCATCAGGTCCTCGGCTGCTCTGCATGCCTCCGTGAGTTCATCATAGAACCCCAATTCAACCTCAATGTCATCATCATCCTAGAAGAGAGAACAAAATTCAGAAGCGTGCCATCCTGACATTCTTGCAAAAGGCAGTGTTCGAAAATTCAGGAGAAGTCGTTGAATGATCTGACTCACCTCTTCCTGGTGAGTTGACAAACGAAGGACTTCATGGCCAGGATTAGGGAGCAACGGTGCAGTGACAGCAGATGATGCAATCTCTACTTTCGCTTCCCTACAGTGGAAATCTGAGTCAGTTTCCTAAGGTAAATTGCGGAAAGTTCTGGCTCATAGATTTTGGAAACACCCTTTTCAATTAGTCTCACCAGTAGAAAAAATTTAGAAAGCTACGACATCGGATTTTTTTTTAAAAAAATTTACCTGGTGCAGATTAACTGCTCCTTGCAGACGAACCAGATCTTGCACGATGGATCAGCTCTCTGCATTATCGCTGCTGCTGTCCTGCAAGTAGGCCTGTCAAGTTTTCTGAAACCCCAAAACAAGAAACTTCAGTTGTGAATAATCATCTCTTTATTAGACTGATAAAAACATACAGAGCATGTCTGAATTTGCAAGAAACAGAGTTCCGTCAGGAGGATATCATACGTGGAGTACTGCCGGTCCGCGGCAGCCGAAACCACCAGCTCGGTGATCCCGCGCAAGCCAATGAGCTCGACGAGGCCGGACGCGACATCCTCCTTCTCAATCACCAGCTTCTCACACCTCACCTGGAGTTTACGGACATTGTGCAAGTCGATAAGCAGATGAAACCTTTCAACCTTGTGTTAAGAAGCTGAGTGTTGAAGAAATGGAAAACGCTCTTCAACATTCAACCGGAAGAAAACAGAGTAGTGCCTTGGTTTTCCGGCACTCATGGACGTAGTCGTCCAGCATCTTGTCCGCCTTGTCGCGCTCCATCCGTCTGAAGGAGCTCACCTGCTCCGAGCTCAGCTTGCTGGCATGGAACTTGGCTCCCACTGATGGAGATAGATAACCAAAAAAGGTCACCGACGATGCACTTACAGATGCCGGCCGGAAACATGCATGCGCGATGAAGGCGAGCACGTACTGACGGGGATCATCTGCGGCGGGACGTGCACGTGCGTGACGACGACCGTGGTGGCTGTGGCTCCGCCGCAGAGATGGCCGAGAGCCCACGACAGCGTCGACCGCCCCGCCCTGCGCTCCGCCGGCACCACGACGAACACCTTCCTATTGTTCTCGTCCTCCACCGCCACCGCCACCGCAGCCTCCATCGATCGATCGTCCCCGCCGCGGCTGGCTCCTCCTCGGTTCTTGGAGCTCGCACCAGGACCTTGCGGTTGAGGACGCGCGGGTTTAAGCTATTCTAGCTTGTATGTAGAGGAGACTTTGGACCTGGCGGACGGGAGGTAGACGGTGGCGCGTCGCCGTGGCCCGTGGGAAGAGGAGGAAGCCACCGGCGGGACGCGACAGCGACGTGGGACACGGAGGAGCCGACCGACCCGTCGGTCAACTCCGAAGCTCAGGTTGTTCTGAGCTCGCTTGTCGCGTCACTACAGGACTTTTGCTCGGTTTGATGCCGAATGATTGCCGTGTCATCTGCGTTTGACTGGTTATTTCTCGTATATAGTTTCCGCTGCACGGCAGGATATAAAGATGCTGCGAATATTGCGTCATATGCTCAACGCCTCAACCTCAACACCTACGGCCACTTCTTTCAAGCAGCTCTTAGAGCATCTTTAGTGGATGGTGTAAATTTGGACATGTATATCTTCATATACACGACCATATACACCTTGCTAAATTATATACCTCCCAGTTTTTCACTGAAACGTGTAAATTAGGATGTATATATTTCCAACGGCTATATTTTCAAACGGCTATATTTCCAACGGCTATATTTTTAATGGCCATATTTCCGATCTATATAAACCACCCCTACCACCTCTCTTCCAGCACACTTCTACCTGTGACTTCTCTTCTCACCTAGATTTCTCTATCGTTTCTCACGCAACACAATGAACTCATCCACTTGGGACATGAGTTCTTCGTCATCTTCATCTGGCGATGATGAACTCATACTTGCAGCATTCGCCGAGCGCGAGGAGCAAGAGAGGAAGAACGCTCGACGCCATGGCGGTTCCAAGCATGGACGTCAGTCAATCGATCGAGGAAGAGATGCCGGATTTGTTCTTCTGTGGGACGACTACTTCAAAGAGATTCCTCGCTTTCCCGAACATTTGTTTCGACGAAGGTTCGTAATTAGTACACTTCTCTGCTTTGGTCATTTTTTCATTTCCCTGTCTCATTTACTTTTTATGCACAGATTTAGGATGTCGCGTACTTTGTTCAACCGCATAGCTGATGGTATACTTGAGCATGACTATGATGGTTTTTTTACGCAAAAAAGAAGTGCTTCTGGAGCTCTTGGGTTACATCCTCTGCAAACGATGACTGCGGCAATGCGTATGCTAACATATGGGTTAGCAGCTGATGGTGTTGATGAGTACAACCGGTCCGCTGAGTCGACTATTTTAGAGTCTTGCAAGAAATTTGTGATCAAAGTTTGTGAAGTTTTTGGGAAAAAGAAGCTGAGATCTCCAAATGAAGAAGACATTGCTAGGTTACTTGCAATAGGGGAGGAAAGAGGATTTCCTGGTATGTTAGGGAGCATAGATTGCATGCACTGGGGGTGGAAAAATTGCCCCAAAAAATGGCATGGCATGTTTAAAGGCCATGTGAGCGAGCCCAATATTATCTTGGAAGCAGTTGCTTCACAAGATCTTTGGATTTGGCATGCTTATTTTGGTTTACCAGGGTCTCTGAATGATATAAATGTTCTTCAACGTTCTCCTATTTTTACAAAGCTAGCCGAAGGCCAAACTCCTCCAGTGAATTATAGCATCAATGGCCATCAGTACACAATGGGGTATTACCTTGCAGATGGTATCTATCTACGGTGGGCAACATTTGTGAAGAGCATACTAGCTCCAACTAGCAGAAAGCATAAAACTTTTGCCAAGAAGCAAGAGGGGGCTAGGAAAGATGTGGAACGAGCCTTTGGAGTTCTGCAATCCCGTTTTGTCATTGTTCGTGGACCTGCTAAAGGATGGAAACGTAAAGAAATCACTGATGTCATGAAAGCTTGTGTCATAATGCACAATATGATAGTTGAAGAGGAGCGACAAACTGGTCGGCAAAGCTGCACTTTTGAGGCAATGGGAGAAAGAGTCACAGTCTCTCGTACTCATGCGGAAGAACTGAGCTCTTTTATTCAGATGACTCACCGGATTAGAAATTTCGATGAACATGATCAGCTTAAACTTGATCTAATTGACCATGTGTGGCAAAAGTTTGGAAATGAGTGATGTCCTAGTTATAAGTTTGTAATCCATTTCTTTTCATGTAGTTTTAATTTATGCAATGAGTGATGTAATCCATGTCTTTGTAATGCAGCTATCAAAAAAAATATTTATGCAATGAGTGATGTAATCCATGTCCTCAACTAGCAGAAAGCAGTAAATAGTTCTTACAACTACAACATATAGTTCACATTACCCCAGGCCGCGAGCAAGGATCTCCTTCTGCTTATCTTGGTAGAACTGCTTTAGCACATCAGTCATACCACTAGTGTCGATGAGCATGACCCTCTCATCTAATTCAAACTGTCTCCGTGCATCCTCCCTCTCATTCCGTGCATCTTCATTCTTTTTGAGTGCAATCTCCTCTTTTCGCAATTCCAATTGCTGTGCGTAGCGAGCATTTCTTGCCGCCTCTTTGATCTCATCCTTCTCTAGATTTGCTGCCCACACAGTTTCTAATGACAGCTTGCAAGCAATGTCATCAGCTTTACCTCTCTTATCCTTCTTCACACCATCAGGTCTTTTCTCATGTTCAAGAGTATCAGTGCGTATCGAGGTAGCATCAGTACGTACCGAGGATGCATCACCCAGATCATTGGTGGCTGTGCCCGGACTTGCATCAATGGTCTTCTTTTGTTTCTTAAGAGAAGTTTCAACTTCTCTTGTCTGCCACTTTGGATACTTCGAAAACTCTACATAGCAATGCATCAGTGTGAAAGGCTTCTTTTTTTTAAGATCCATTTCCTTGAACAAAATGTGTGCATCGTTTGTCTGCACATATAAATATGTTGTCAAAATAAGCACAACACATATAGAATATTGCACATCACATATAGAATTACAAGAAATGCGCATACCTTTTTTTCTATAGTCCTTCCACTTTCTTGCCTATTTAAAATCTGCTGAAGGCAACCACAAAATTTAGAGGTCTCTCTGTTAATCGTTGTGCAACGGCCATTGATTGCATTAGCATTACGCTCCGGCCATGATGATTCCTTGTGTGTGTTGTAGTACTCTGAAATTCTATCCCAATAAGCATCTCGATTTTGATCTGTCCCAACGATATCCAAACTTGTATTTGCCCATGCTGCTATGAGAACCTTGTCCTCATCACTAGACCAATTTTTTCCTTTGTTGGATTTTCCTTTCTCTGTTATTGCAGAACGATGCTGAGTTGATGGAGTTGCCTGCTCTCCAATTGGACTATCTGGTTGTGTTTATGTGTAACCAAAACCAATGGTGTCCAAGAAGCTTTGGTCACCATCCATCTGCAAGCAACCAATGCATAGCTATTTTAGACCATAATCTGACATCAAATTGACATGGCCAAGCAACAATTTGCAATAGACAAATACCAAATATCAACACCAGATGGAGAAAGCATTGCAATTTTCTGCTTTTCCCCACCCACTCGGCCTCACTGCTTCGATTCAGAGCTGCCTCTCCCCTGCCCGTCGACCTCACTCCTCTCCCCAGGCCGCAGGCCGCCGGCCTCCCCAGCCTGTTGACCTCCTACCTCTCCCCAGGCCGCAGCTAGCGCCGCCCGCACCCGCACTCCGCCGCCCGCATCCTGCCCCGCCGCCCGCCGCCCGCACAGCGCCGCCCCGCCGCCCGCATCTCG